TCAAATATATATATATATATATATATATATATATATATATATATATATATATATCCTACTCCTTGCCATACCATATCCCTTATTAATAATGTCCAAATCATTGTGACATTTAATTTTATCCAGGCTCATTCATATCTACATAAAAAATATATCCCAAAGAGCTGGAAATTGCTTAATGGAGACAGAGTGCTGGCTCTCTATAGCTTGGGGCTGCCTAGCAATTATGCTGCATGAAATTAGACACAGTTTGTTCCAATTACTTAAAATCAGATCACATGAAAAGTGACAGAGGAGAAGAAAAAAAAACTAGCCCTTTCTCAGTTTTGTGATATTTAAATTATGAAATCAGAAATTACATGATGTGAAGAAACCAGTGAAATTTGCTGTGAAATTCTGGGGCCTGCACTGCATCTCTTTGGAGCTGTAGTGATTCAGGTAATTTTAATGATCCAAGGAGAATTTTTCTGACACCATTTGCATAAATAAAAATGTGAATTGCATTTGTCTTATAAGAATGTATGTAAAGCTTGCTCACAAATAAGCATGCAAAAATACTCTTGAAAAACACAGGACAAGGAAATTGCTGTGACAAGTCTCAGTTTTCAAAGTAGCTAAATATGAACAGCACAAATACTAATTTTTCCATCCGGTTCTGGTCATAGCATTAGGACACCCAATAAGACAAGGCAAGAAATGGTGTAACTCAGTTCTACTGAAGAGTGAGAATAGACATATTTATTCATTCTCCTAAAAATAATTGACAGAAACTTTCATAGGGGCTGGAAAACTACATAAATAGCATTGCAGAAAATGTTATAGACCAGAATATACCTGTGTGCATGTTTATAACTTTATATTCAAATAGCATCCACAACTAGGTGGCAAGAGTTGAGGCTGTAGGGCCAATTAGATGGCAAAGGCTCCTGCTAACATGAGTTCAAGCTGTGGGTCTCACATGATAGAAGAGAACCAGTTCTGCAAGTTGCTCTCGTACCTCTACAAGTATGTTTCGCCATTCATCTACATACCATACCATACCATACACCACACCCCCCTCATGCACACACACACATACATGCATACACACGTGTACATACACACACAGGCATACACACACAGACATATATACACATACACACATATGTATACACATGCACACATACACACATGCACACACACACATGCGCATATACACACACACAAATGAAGGCAAAACATGTTTTCCAACATAATAGTTTTATTTGGGAATTTCACATCATGTACCTCCATCACATTCACTTTTCATTCATTTCTATGTCCCCAAAACTTACGACCTCCTCCTCAAAAAAAAGGAAGAAAGAAAGTTCAATTTGTGTTGTCCGTATACTCAACTGAAGCACTGTCTAACTCCCAGTGGCCTGCCCCCTAAAGAAACCTGAGTCCTTTTCTACCTGTATCCTAGCCAGAAGCCATCAATGTGGAAAGCTACACTTCAGAATCCTTATTGCTGTTTTAAAGAGTTCTCTTTGATGATTTCCTTTTTAGCCTGTTACTTTGAGGAGGGAGATCTTGGGGAGGGTAGGAGTTGTGACAGAAGCCTTCTGTGTTCCTTTTTGGCAAGATTTTTTTTTTTAAAAGAAAATTGCACATTTCAAAATGTAGTTTGTAATTCTTGTTGGGCACTTACTGTTTAGAGCTACTAGTTGAGAGGTCTTTAACTTCAATGGATGTTACGACTCGGAGTGACAAAATTGAGGGTTATAAAAGTTGTTCATTTCAAAGTCTTATAATTAGTAAGTACAGTATCATTTGTAAGCTCTAATAGAGTCATTTGTATTATATACAGTTTTCAACTAGTATAGACATTGAACTACTATGTATAACATTATAATTCAATGTTCTCTTCGTAAGAAAAGAGATTCATCTGATGACACTCATGTGGCATCTTTTATACAATGGGAATTATATTTTAAGCTTATTGGGTGGTGTTTAGTTCTGGACTAGTCCCAATGCCTGGTTTTTTCTTGAGTGTGGTCCTAGCTCATGATAGCTTAATACATGAGTCAATGCCACTTTCAGGATCGAGGCAAAGGAAATATTGACGTGGATGCTTACACTTTCTGTGAGCGCTTTAGACACTTTATTATCCATTTTGGTGTCGAATCTGATAGATAGTATCTGTGTAAGGTACCTCAGTTATAGTTAGTTTCTTTCTTCAAACTAGTTGCTAATTTCCCATCACATACTGTCTAGACTTTAAGGATAATGAGTAATGAAGCAAGGAATTTTGAACTGGTACTTAAGTAAGAAGATACTTGAACAAGAAAGTACAGAATAAGAAAATGTGCTATCAGGGAATAAGAAAAAGATTGATGTGAGATAAGATATGCATACTTGGTGTGGTGTGGTAATGGTGTTTACAAGTGTGTGTGTGTGTGTTTGTGTGTGTGTGTGCGCGTGCGCGTTCGTGCGTGCATGGATGCCTGTGTCTGTGTATGTGTCTCTGCATCCATGTGTAAATGTATGTATGTCTCTATATGCATTTATGGACATGTTTGTATCTGTGTATGTCTGTGTGTATCTCTGTATGCATGTGTGTGTATGTCTGTGTGTGTGTCTCTGTATGCATGTGTCTGTGCCTCTGTATTCATGTGTGTATGTGTTTGTGTCTGTTTGTGTTTCTGTATACGTGTGTGTCTGTATGAATGTGTGTGTGTGTGTGTGTGTGTGTGTGTACAGTGTGTGTGTGTGCACCTGACCTTGAGCTGACCCCTGACAATGACACTGAGAAGTGTAGCGGGTAGACTCTTGGTGTGTTAGAAGAGCAGAAATGAGAGCTGTTGATTGGGTGAGAGCAAATCGCCTGGTGACATGTCAGTGGCTCTGAAAGGGCGGGGCCTGGTGGCTGGCTCTGCAGGTTATGTAAGCCCTATGGTGGTTTCTGAAGACTCAGACTCTGGGAGAGGAGGAACTATAGCTATTGGCTGTCCCTTCCCCTCGCTGGTCTCCTCACCTGCAAAACAGAGGGATGCTTGTTCCACTCAGAGGGATCTAATGGGGATTAATTACCATCTTGTCTGAAATATACCTCCAGCTCTTTAGAGAAAGGCACTCTATTCCATGAAAGCAAAACCTCATTCTAATTGTGTATTTATTGATTAAGTGGCAATCAAAGACAATACTTATGGGAAAAATTACTGTATCCCTGTTCTCCACAAGTATACCTGATGTATGTAGGACATACTTAAAGTTACATGTAAGAGCACTGATGTGATCATTAACAATTTCTTAAGCATCTGACTAGACATTATTAATGAGATTGAAAGCTATGTTAATTATTATCCATTATAGAATTTAGTTTCCACAGCACACGGAGTTAGGTTGGGTTTTGAGAGCGCCCTTTCCCATTCATAATGGAACTAAGATTAGATGAGTGTCTGTCGGAACAACTTTATTTGGGAAGAATTTATAGGGAAGCAACCTTTCAAGGCAGCCAGTGTCTCCAAGGTGGAAACCACAGCCCCAGCTGCTCTTTACAAGTGTATGTGGCAACTTAGACATACCTGATTGCTAAACGGAAAAGGTTTCCACGAACAAAAATTTCTATAAAATTCCAAATTCATTTCATTATTTAATTATGCAACCAATACTTTTTCCTCATGAGGAACAAGTATTCTCTTCCTCATGAGGAACAGAGCTGGGCTTGTTCTTAGTATGTGAAAGATGATGGCCTTTGAGCTTCTGTTGGCCTTTATGCAGAATTCTAGTGTGTGTTGATCTTTAGATGTAGAAACAAACTGTATGTGTTGCTTTTCTCATCACTGTGAGCAAACAAAACAAAAAGAAAGAAAAGGAAAAAAATAAAAGAAAAATGACAACAAAGCTGGCAAAAACAGCTTGGGGAGAAGGGTTTGTTTTGGCTCATGCTTTGAAGGGATACAGTCCATCATAGATAGAGAGGAAGATGCAGAGGGGAAGGCACAGCTATGGGAGCCTGGGACTAATGTTCACTCTCACATTTCCAGAGACAAGAAGCAGAGGCAGCCAAATGCTGACACTAAGCAACTTTCTCTTTTCCCATATTTTCTCTTTTTCTTAAGTGTAGGTTCCTAGCCCACAGAGTGATTCTTCCCACATTCAGGATGGGGTTTTCCCTATGGTAATCCTCTCTGGAGGTGGCACACCCATGCAGAGGTGTGTCCCATAAATGACCCCCAAGCTTGTCAAATGACAGCAAAGGTGACACCAATTTTGGTTGAGTTTTGCTGGTGGGTGTTTTGTCCAACAAGAGTTGAAACAAGAGTGCCCTAAATAAAGTATAACTAGCTTAGTTTTAATATTTTAATCCACCAGTAGAGAGCTATGGAGAGTGAGTATCATATCTGAATACTAGAGACCTGAGCTGAGAGTATATTAAATCTCAGGGATATTTTTTTCTAGATAGCAACACACACACTCCAATCTGATAACCACAGTGAAAATCACAGTATATTTTCAAGCCTTGCAACAAATAAACTTGTTAAAGAGTAAACTCAGTATCACAGCTCTGCAAGTATCTTAAATAGACATTTCTACACTTCACTAATCTTTGTAATTGGCCTGTCTTTTACTGCCATTAATTAGATGATGTAGTATTTCATTAATAAGAGTGACACACCTCAGCATTTTTACCTTTAATTATAGACTTCACTAGACACTTAGGTTATTGACAAAATGGTATAAACATTGCCAGCTGTACACATACCTTTTTTTGATCTTTTTCAGCACCCTTACCCTTCTGAAGAACAGAAAAAGCAGTTGGCACAAGATACGGGACTCACTATCCTTCAAGTGAACAATTGGTGAGTAATTTGGCTTGAGTTTACACACAATCTGTTTCCCCCTCTGGCAACCTACAGTTAATGTCTGGCATGAAGAAGCCACACCCAGTTGCTGCTGCTTTCCCTAGTGGCTTGCTGATTCAAAAGTGGAACTAAACTGGACTGCTGTGGAGAAATGTTTTCTAACATGGAAAATAGATTGTGTTGCCTTCCATCTCCTTTATGACTCAACAGGTTTTATGTACAGGATGAGTGCATATGACTCACTTTCTTTGGCTTTTCTATTTAGAATGATTGGTAGAATTGGTATCATACTATTTTCTACGAAACAAGAAAATATACCATTAAAATATACCAGATAGCAGTTGTAAATTCACTGAAAAACTAATTCAATTAGATTTTGTTAGCATTCTGTGTTCAAAGATGGCATCCAGTATTCTCTTATCATTCAAATATGGGAAGGAAAAAAGAGTATTTGTGGGGTTTTTTTTTCCTCTGAAGATCTTTAAAATCTGATGTTGCTGAAGGCTGTTCAATGCTATTTCTAAGTAAAGTAGAAATTCCTGCTCTAGGGTAAAGCTGAGGATACACACCAACTCCTAAGCTACAGCATTCTGATTACGTGTCCAGCAACACGACATTGAGGCTTTGGGAAAGTGTGATTTATTGCCCTCTGTGACTCTGCTAAAGCCATATTAACAATAATCACCCAGGTCTACTGTCATATTTGAAGAGTATTGAAATCCAATCTCCCCTCAAACTGAGGATATCTAATTAATCACCCTAATATTTTCAATCAGTGTTTTTGATGGAGAAGTCTTATATTCTTTGAAGTACAATCCAGAAAAGGCTCAAAATCTGGTTGGAGAAAGAGAAAACTGAGGATGGCAGTTTGTAGACATAAGTATTTTTTTCTGTTCAGTAAGTGTCACAGATTAATATTACAGAATCTCTGATTACATGGCCTAATCCGTTTTGGTGAATACACTTGTACTTGATGTCCATTGTACTTACATTAACAGACCCTTCACTGTTAGAGAGCCTTGAGCCTTTGGGAGATATTTCAGATATATTAAACCCCATTACAGAAAATGTAATTTCTGACAATATAATCCCATATGTTCTTCAACTTAGTATTTTAGAGATAACAAGCTACTTATGGTATATTTGCCTTTGGAGGATTAATTTACAAGTACACTATCTGCAAGACACAGACTGACTCACAAGCGCTTTGCTTGTAAGGGTTATCAATTTCTATGACCTTACCACAGCCTTCAGAGATCAATTTTTGCAGCTTTCTTAGTGGATATGGAACCACCGAAGTCATACTGTATCTAAATGTGCTGAGTTCTGTTGCCTTTGAGGTTTTGCTGTTTGCCTATTTTTATCTGCTACTGTCTCTGAAGTCTTCAAGACTGTGAGTTAACAATGCATATTTGAAGTCAGTCTTTCATAGAAATCTGAATTATTCCATAAGAAATACACAATTAGTTTTGGTTTTTTGTTTTATTTTTTTGTTTGTGTTTTGAGACAGGGTTTCTCTGTGTAGCCCTGGCTGTCCTGGAACTCACTCTGTAGACCAGGCTGTCCTTGAACTCAGAAATCCGCCTGCCTCTGCCTCCCAAGTGCTGGGATTAAAGGTGTGCACCACCACTGCCCGGCCAAGAAATACATATTTTTTTTATGTGCACATATAATCATGTCTTTAGGCTTAAAGTGATGGTGAGGTCCTTTAAAGTCCTAATATAGTGGGAGCTGTTGAAATGTGACATCTCTTTGGGAAACATTCTTTGGTGAAGGTAAAAGAGTGGTAGGCTGAGCTCTAGTTAAGGAGCACTAAGGAGTGCTGAGCTGGCTTTCTATCGTACATACTGTCTCCCTTCATCCTCAATGTCGCTAGCACACTTTATTTGTAAACAGAGTTACCAGAATAAATTCAGCACACTCTGCTGTGTACAGACCACTGATGGGACAGGGCTTGTGAATACAGGTGCAAAGAGGCCTTCCTGTGATGCCAGTCAATCTAGATACACTATCAGTTCCCTGGATTTTCTGCACAAGGTCTATAAGAGACCACCAGGTCTTCTTCAGTCATTGACCATGGTTTGACTTGTTCACTTCTGTATTAGAGGGGAAATAGAGAAGACTAGGAATTAGGAAGCTAGGACATGATTTTCAGAGTGTGTGCAGACCTCAGGCTGAAGCGCTAATTGGCATAGGTAACTTCAAAAATCACCTTTACTTTGTCAAAAGGGATCAGTGTATGTGGTTGTCTTCTTTCCCCCTGTCCCTTCTGGTGACAGAAATGGTTCTTCCTTGCACACCACTGCTTTGGATTTATCAATTCCTCTGGCCCCTGTTAACAGCTTTTCTGCAGAGAATGCCTCTAAGGCAACCTAAAATATTTGAGACCGGTTTCTTTTCTTGAAATGTGATAAATATGGTGTTGATGTGTTTGATTCAAGTATAAGAATGTTTTACAAACCTTCTAGCTGACCATGATGACGCATGCCTTTAATTCCCATGTTCAGGAGACAGAAACAGGTGGATCTCTGAGTTCCAGGCCAGCCTGGTCTATAGCTTAAGTTTCAGGAAAGCCAGGGTTATATTGAGAAACTCTCTAGGAAAAACAATCAAAAGCAAACCAAACCAAATAAAAGATCTTACCAAACAGTAAGTTAGGAATAGATAAATATTTCTTTGGGCTTTAGGTAGGAAAGAACTCACAAATAATAAAGTTGCCTTTTAAAACCTGAAGATGTCATAGAATCTTAAAGACCTAAAGGCAGGAAAAGTAGAGCTGATTTTTCTTTTAATCTACTATAAAACTATACCAAGGTTTTTTTTGTTTTGTTTTTGTTTTTGTTTTTTAAGAGCCTGCAAATAAATACTTTGATTGCATAGAACAGCAGCCTATGATGTAATTTTCTTCTAGAAATTCTAACTTTAAAATGATCGTTAATGTCTTAAGACTTCTTCAGCACTTCATTTAGTTACAACTTAAAAAAATATCTTCTTGAATTTCTTAAAACTTGTTAACACACATGTAAACTTTTGTATATGCTATGAGTCACTGTTGAAGATGTTTCATAAAATGCTGAAGGGCAGGTTGGGTGTAGATCAGTCATAATTATTGGCAAGAACATAATGTATTGACATGCACAATATGTTAAGTGAGAGCTATAAACTCTGTCTAGTTGCTAGCTTGTCATAGGAACCTTAACTGAAGCAGCTTCGGTGAGGCACCAACTGGAAACAGAGACAAGAACTTTGGGCACTGTTCCTTCACACCAATACTAAACCCGTTTTGTATCTTTGTGTTGACATAAAGGATGTACTGTGCATGTTAGGTGACTAAGACAGAAATAGATGGGGAAATGGGGAAGTGAAAGAGTTTCACTGCAAAACAGTAAGATGGATTTAATGAAGACAAAACAGAGATAAAAATGTAATTGCAAATACCCATGTTTATTCTACAGGTCAGAATAAAAAGAGGAGGGATCTTACAAAGGCCGGTATTGAGTCTGGGATGGAATAGGGTATTTATCACATGAGAGGTTGTAGACCAGATCTATGGCAACATCTTTTGCTGATAACCCACATAAAATATTGTAAACATGTTATCTGATTCACAGAAGATATTACATGGTTTTTCCAAGTGAACGTCTATGACTGGTGGCTTCAGTGTCGGGAGAGGTTTAGACTCAGTGTGGTCAGTTGCGAGGTGGAACCTGTGCCAAGTGCTCACATCTCCCTTCCCTTCCCTCTGCTCATTCAGTCTCCTTCTAACCTCATGAGAAATGGTAAAATTAACATTTTGGAACTTTCTGCCTTCGGGCTTTTTTTTTTTTATTTTCACTGTTTGGACAAATACTTCTGAGAACAATATCAGTATGCTGACCAGTTTTTCATTTGAAGTAGAAATATTGTAAGTTTTGGCAGTAGATGGTTTTTCAGGTCTTTAAATATTTAAGTATGTAAGCAGAGCTTTTAAAAAAATCATTCCAGTGTTCAACATTTTATCAGATCTGTTTTTATTTATTGTTTGAGAATGTCATAAGTGTGCACGATGTGTTTTTATCTATCCTCTGACTCCCTCTTCTTCTAGGCAGATAACTAAAGAAAGCATAAACATGCATGAACAAACACACCTGAATACGCACACATATGTGCAAACTCAAAGCCAATATTTGGTTCTTTTTAGTATACCAACTTTTATACGTTGAAAGTGTGACTGTAGAATTTTTAAATAAAAACTCATACATTTTTAGGGCAATGTTGCAGACCAGGGGTGTCTCTGCAATGAAAGGTAATGCCTTATTCTGTACAGTACTAGCTGACAATCTCAGATACACTCTGCCTCTGCAGAATACTAGCCCAGAGTGCATGGAGTCAGTGTTCTAGCTTCTTGGCTGCTCATTCTTTCCTAGAAAGGCCTGATATTAAACACTTACCCCTTGGTGCTCTGAGAAGATGACACTGTTTTTACATGCAAACTATATAGTAAATATAAAATATTATGTGTATATAGAAAATAATGTATATAGAAAGAAAATCCTTCTCTGTCAATCGAGAGTATAAAATTCTAGGCAGCACCCTGACATTTGATAAGCCATCAGAACTAGTGTCCTTGATAGATTTTAGATTGAGAATCCATTCTGGATCTTCCCAAGTCCTTCATCTTTGCCCTTAAAACTGCCAAGCATTCAGGCGTCACTTCCCATTTCTTACCCATGGGGGGAAGCTAGACTCTTATGCTACAGGCAGGTAAAATTGGAAGCTTATTTTTAGAAAATCTGATCTTTACTATAATAGCTTCAACAGTTAAAGGTCAAGTTTATTTCTGAATTGTAGTAGTAATGCAGCAAATAATTTTATAAGTAATCAAAGATTCTATAAATATAGAGACCTGTTTCGATGTAAATGTTAAAACATTCACAAATTATCCTTTCAGCTTCTGTGATCTAAAAATCAATAGAGGTCAGTGGGTTCCATAGAACTGTTCTGCTTTTCTTCTGATG